GGCTCCATGCAACCGGAGGGGGGCGTGCGAGGAAACCCACTCCTCCCCTTCGTTCTCTTATTCTTCACGAACAGTCGAGGCTAGCCAGTTAGGGAGAGCCTTTACACCTTAGAGTGGCCTAGGATGGTATGAGAAGGGATGAGATCAAATGGACTGCTACAGGAGATACTGCCTCACCTTATCCTCCGCATTACCGGAATACCCCATAGTTGATAATTATCACCTCTTCTTGGCAATAGCATTGGACAATCACATCCCAAAGACATACGTAATAGAAGTGGGCCAGAAACTGAGATAATACGTTGCATAAGAGTAAAATCCTCAACCTTAAATGCCTTAACAACCGTTGTGGAAGGATGGTGTACTGTAACGGTGATCGTCTGCAGGTAAAATATTGTAAGGTGCCTTCTGCACTCACCCCCTAACAGAACTCGCACGAACCTTTATGGCTACCTCATTTTTATTTCAACTTACCTGTGCGTCTCGGACAGGGATCCCGTCTAAGAGAACCGTAAAGGTGGAGAGGTCTGCAAATTATGGTAGGAAAGTGATTTAAGTATGTCAAATATACGGTGCAATGACCTTATCTCACTCTTGAAGACTAAAGCAACTACTTGGAGTGAGGAATATTTCGACGACAGCCACATCGCGACACAAGCCTCAATGCAAAGGAATGCTTTCGCCATCTCGAGAAAGTGTTAACATGGCTAAAAGGCTAGGATAAATGAAAAATATGGGAATAGCTAGTGTTCATTAGAACTTTATGGATATCGTGGTTTTTTTGAAGTATTACTGAAAGAACCCGTGAATTCCGTTTAGGTGAACTGACTTAAAAATTCCGTCTAAAGCATTTCAGAGGCCGTTTTCTTCTTTTACCTATGTGGAAGGTTTGCAGATGTGCATCAATGACGGGGGTTCAGTGGTCAACTAAGGTGGGCAATTCGATGAGCGCTAATCAAGCGGGCAAATTCATAGTAAAAAAGTGGATGGAAACCAAATTACTCCGACTTCCGTGGAGGAAGGCCCTAATCGCCCACCAATTCGATACAATTATTGTTATATCTACAGTCCAGAACCTTTTTTGGCGTCTCAAATAGCAACCTTTTTGAATAAATAGTAGGGATACCTACCGAGGGTGACTGAGACCTTGCTGCCTTTAGATCCCACATCCCAACCAATTACCCTACTGCCCTTGAAGAACGTAGTAGGACTGGGGAGGACAGAGGATCTCCTTCTCCTGTGACAGGAAATCAATGCAATGGTAATGCCTTTTCAAAAGACCAAATGACCTTAAGAATTCTAACAGAAACAAGCTAAGGATAATCAGGCAGCGATGTTCTCATCTAGCTCTTGTTTTAAAAACCCACTTACACGCAAACAAGCAAATAGTTTCCTTCCCATAAAGCTCTGAAGATTCAAAAATATGAAAAATAGAAACTTCTAATTCATGCGTTTTTGTAAATCTTACTAAAACCACCTTTAAAAGTACCTCCACGTGATTTAAGAACATTTTCACCTTAAATATGCAAAAGGAACAAACCTCACTCTCGAAGGAGAAGCAGTGGGACTAGTAGGTGATTCCGGGTGTTTTGGTCGCAAATTTTTCCCTCTTAGCAGAAGAATACTTGACATTTACAGGAGTTGGCATCTAGTCCCTCACAGACCTGCCCTGCACTGCCCCGCATGCATGCACACTTAAACACCCAAACTGACCAATCACCATGCGGCCAGGCTCGAGAGATGATTGGCTATTTCATTTGGTTAAACTTCGCATGTTCACGTGACAGCGACCTCACGTGCCATGGCTCCGCGCAGGCTCGAGAGAATTGGTGTACCTATAAGTCCAACTAAAACGTCACCCCTATGCAAATTGTTGTTTGAAGCTAGGCGGCTGGTGGGTGCGGTCGGCTTTGCAGTCCCACCCATGTTGATGGCTAATAAGGAAGCCAGGGTGGACTTTGTTAGGCTTCAATGGAACGAAACAGGTGATAACTCTCCGCCTCTCTGCAACCTGGATGAAACCCATATGTTGATATGGCTGAGCAGCACTAAAGTGAGAGCAAAATGGCAAGGATGAATGGACGCGAAACCCCTCCCCCTCAAAAAAGCATTTTAAACCTGTCTTTTATTAAACAACGCTGCCAGCATTCTTGCGATGGCCTGCAATATTCCCCTCCATCAAGACAGTTCACAGACAGGTTAAAACTCCAGAGCCAGTACAACTGTCAGGGGGAATCAGTAACACTGCATTCAAGTGTCTTCTATATTACACGCAAGTTGGATGAGAGAAGCAATTAGTTCGTGGGTGTTTTCTCTACGGCATCGACAACGTTATGATAGTCGATGTGGGAGGCTAACTAAGGGCACTTCAGGAGACGAAGCTCAAAAAGAGAGATGAGTTATGCAATGCTTTGGCTAGTTTTACGGGTACTTAAGCCTCCGTGATTGTACTTCTGCTGGGCGATACGGCCTCTGGGCAATGACAGTAGCTACCAGTCCTCTACGTCCCCGGGTCAGCATCGCAGTGCTGAAATCTAGACTTAGGTGAGGTAGATTTAGTATACCCAATCCTAGAGCAGCATCGAAAGGCTGTATTCTGAACCCATCCACCATCTAAACATGACTGTGGTGGAGCAAAATTAGGAGATTAAAAAATGTTTTAAACTATGCACAGTTCTATCCCTCTGCTAGATCATGGGCGACCTCACCTGCGACGTGATATGGGAGGCCCAACTTACGAGTGGCAATTGATAGTTTATGGAGGTGTAGTCTATTTAGTCTCCTGCCATTCTATTCTTACGCAGTGACCCGGGGTCCTCTTCACGTTGCCTACAATGCCAGCCCTCTAGCATTGTTATACAATTTTGAAAACGCCACTGCCAAAATCAGGAAACCTTTTGCCACTGTGACACCTCCCTCCCTCTTTAAAAAGCAGTCATTACATAGCCTTTGAGGCGTAGAAGAGGCAAATACTTCAACTGACATTTACAAGAGTTGATATGCCTGGGATTTCCACCTGGCTGCTCTTAAAAATGATGGGTTTCGCAAAGATGCCTCGGTCCTATTTTGAGCGCTCTTTTTGTACCAGGAATGACATCCATGGACAAGGTGCGTTACTGAAGTGAGACCAATGATCTACTCGGGGACTTTTGATGAAAGTTTGAATGAGTCTCCTTCTGAGCTGGGAACCGGGAACACTAATTGCATGTTAATTACTTAAGTAAACCTTTTTAGCTTCCTCCAACGTCTTAATTTGACCTCCGCACTGGTGACATGAATGTCTGCTCATGCTACTTACACCATCGATCTCTGAGACCTTCTGCATACTGATAATATTTCTACTGCCAGAGTTGTACCAGGCCCGGTGCCAAGGTTTTAAGCTTCAGGTGGTGCGTACCTCTCCAAATAGGAATAAATTAGAAGAGGCCTAACATAGTCAAGTTAAAATGATTTGGCGTCAAAAGGGATGCCATTTCGGATCTTTTCGATAACACGGCTCTAAGGTAGTGAGCACAATAAATCTGCTGATGGAGGGAGCTGGACTCTCTTCGGTAGTCAAGAGCACAAAAAGAGCCAGCTTACCTAAATGCAAGATCGGAATCCAGCTCTAACTTAAAGATCCACAGAAATTGCTACTAGATGACTGTTTTGTTGTTGTCCCACCTCCAGCTAGCATACAACCACCACCTTCCCATGACCTGATCGGGCTGGGGGTTCGTAATCAGACTTATTCTTCAAATGGTTCCTCTTGCAAGAAAATGCTTCCCCGATCGACCCTCTTCGGCCGAAAGAACATTACGTTCTCGTGCACTGCAAGACTAGGTCGTCTTTGGGCAAACTACCGGTTTTATCGGTTTAACAAGGTGCTCCTTTTTCAAACCACTGGTAAACCCATCTAGTGAATTGCAACTAAGCACCCATCAATAGTAGACTCAGAGATGGGATTTTGAACGCACTCTTTCAGAGTTACAGATGAATTGGCCGTATAATAAAAGCTGAGAGACTCTTAAATGGATATTGCTGCTTATCTGGACACCATAGTTGAGGGATTTTGGTGCACCGTTAAATCTACCTTTAAGCAAGGAAGTTACAGAAAGATCCTCTGAATGAATGCAACACGTCAGCGTACACAAGGAGCCAAATGCCTTCCACTATTCTCGAAAAAGCTAACCCGGCATTACTACTAACTGTGGAACGGCCGTGTCACTCCTTCTTTTATACGGGAATTATAGTTATGGTTACTAATCTAAGGTAATCCACAGTCGTTAGGGCCACATTAATATAGATATACCGGTTGATCACAAGCTATGAAAAGCAAAGAGAAGAGGGAAGCGGATAAGAGAAGAACATTTAACACGTCTTTGTTCGCAGGACATGGGAGTGAATGATTGCATCGCCTCCTCCACTCTCTCCTCACTATTGCCGCCCGAAGGAATTTTGAGGTTGCACCTTGGGATTCGAAAAGTCGCTCTCCAGTGATCTAGAAGGGTAAAAGAATTAATCATCCACCCAGAGTTATAAACAACCCATAAGAGTTAGAAAGCATTTTAAACGACCTAAACAGTACGATTCATTTAACACCTTTATGAAGCCGTAAACCACTTCAGCCTAAAGAACATTACTTGGAGGTTCCTCACCTCTTGTATTTAGTGCACATAATGGTGAGTTATGCACCAGTAAAGTGCCACTATTCTCGACTCGCACTACTTGCCTCCTCAAAACCGCTTCAAATCAACACCCATCAGTGATTTGAGATCGAAACCCGTGAACCTTGCACATGCCTACTTGTTTCAATTAAGTAGAGCAATGCGTGCAGCTTACATGATGATCCAGGCAAGATTCACTCAGTGCTTTTATAAAGCTACACGCGGGGTTTAGCATACATCATTCGTCCATAACATTACTACTATAATTCCCCCATGATTCCAAATGTTCCTATCATATAACGAATTAGAATTTACTGAAAAAAACGGTTTGACCAATGCATTGCTAACGTGACCGCGGGGACCCTTTGCAATGTCACTGGCATCAGAAACGCCTATTCGAGATTTAAACACGCACTCGATGCATCACCAGTTTTGTTTGAATCTAACAATGCATTTAAAGTAAATGCATTATTTTAGGGGTCCACTAATTTTGCACAAGACCTCACGCCCGTCACTCTGCCTCCGAGATTAATCAATGCATTAATCAGGCCATTCTAAGGTCAGAACAGAACGCAGCAAAATAACTGATTAGCCTAGTAAAAGAATGCTATTCCCTTTACCTCTATACTAAAACAGTCCCCACGATGGAGGCGTGAAATGCTGAGCACAGTACCTGCCTCCCATGCACGGCCACGGTAAAGCCACTGCCAGACCTACACGAGGCATAAAACCTCTCTAAAGTAAGCTCAAGTGATACTCTGGTGGCAGCGTTGGTCACCTCACTCTAAAATAACAGAAGTAGCGATTTCAGGGACCGGTCAATGTCCCTAAACCGCACCGAAGAGGGACACGCTCTGTAAGTGGTCGAATCTGCATCCGACACCCGCATCCCCCCATATGACCTCATATTCTGCATTACGCTTCCAGTTTCGGAACAAGATTTGCAGTAAACTAATTCATAGGTTGCACAAAACAAAACGTGTTTATATCAAACCTGTGAAACAATAAACATTGAGTAAAATATGAAAATATGATGCCTTCTAGGGTTGCAGAAGGCTCTGGCTAATCCATTTAAGCGACGCAGAAAGGAGAGATGGGAGCAAGAGGTTGCCCCGCAAAGCTAATTATATCTTAGCTTCTGGGTGGGTACCTCTGTAAAAAGCGAGTGGCGTAGAACATGTGCTCGCCCCCAAAATACAGCTCCCAACCACCGCTTAACTCTTCTGAGGTTTTCTCCCCATGACTTTCACTCCTGTCTTAACCCCGATTTGCTGTCACTTAAACACGGTTACGGTGTTCGAGGCATAAAAGTAGCCATGGGAAGAGCCGAAAGAGACTCAAAAGATGTTGGGATATGGTGTTAGAGAGGCCTTTTTAGCCTCCGGCGAGTCGATCCCCACGTTGGTGGCATAACGGCTTGAGGTGCTACCGCGTCACAACTGTAGCCAGACCCCAATGATTACTCATCCCGTCCCTTTAGGGTCAGGTCAACATATTGGACATTAAACAAGGCACTCAGTGCAGCAAGCAGGACCCTAGGTTTTGTTGCTTTTCGTTCCCAAACACAACGCAGGCTTTCGGCACAAAAGTTGGCCAAGGATGTGGTGTCCAAAGCTTCTGCCCAATTCATAACCATGTCCAGTGATGATAAATTCGCCAACTCACTTGGATATTGTAAGTTTCAAATCCTTCCCGGCAGCCTTGATGCTTTCTGTGGCCTGCGAGTGGCTCAATGTTCGGGTGTCCTGTCCGTTAATTTCGTGGATCTCGTCGCCGCAATGCAGTTGACCTTCTGCCGGGCTTCCGGGTTGTGTCTAAATCACAATAGAAAAGGGTCTAGGGAGCCCATGAACCAACGCAAATTGAATAACGGTAATTTTAAGTCGCAGAGGCTCTGTTCGGCATCCTGGCCAAAAAGTCGGCTAAGACCCGACGAAGGATGATCTAAAACTAAGTCAGTTTTTACAAATTTTGCCTGGACTTCGAAAGTGTGATCCTCCAATTCATTAAAAATCATAAAATATCTTTTCCAAAAATAAGTTAGCATTTTCGGACACGTAAATTGATGTATGTATGTATGGATGGATCGCAGAGAGCACGACCTCTCTGGATGGATGGACAGGCTGCCTAACGCGCGCATCCGTGCATGTGGGTGCGTGGGTGCAACCACGGCCTCAGCCAATCACTCGCCGCTCACCTCACTTAGCTTCACCCTCTCGCTCTCTCTCCTCGCCTACCCTTCCTGCATGCCTGCAGGCTTACGCGCCTATCACTTCGCCCTAGGCATGGGCGCAAGCACACAAGCACATGGGTTATCGATTAACCGATGGCTTAGTCATGCGGCGATGCAATTGGCTGCTGCGTGGCGAGCCCATGCGTGGTGTGCGTGCACGCATGCAGTCAGAGGCGTGTCGGCGTGCGCGTAGTCAGGTAGGTAGGTAGGTAGTCACGCAGTAAGCGAAGAGAGGAGGATGCAGGCGCAACCGCATGTAGGAATCGGGGCCAGCGGTGGCGGTGGCGGCAGCGGCAACAGCACCAGCGGGAATGGCGATAGCAGCAACAGCAATAATGGGACTCTAATTGCTCTCCAAACAGCCACGACAACGGTATTCCCCCAAGCCTCACAAGTCCCCTTTGATGCAAAAATGGGCATCCCGCAGTCCCAGGGCTTCGTGGCGCCGGTGTCACATTTCGGTCAGCCCTCAATGGTGCCCTCCACCTGCACGGGTCTGCCAATCACCCAACTCAGTTTGGCTGAAATGGAGTCCATCATCTCCCCGTTGACCAGGCGACGCTCGGAGGGTTTTGTGCAACAGGAGGTGAAGTTGATGATCAAGGAGATCGAAAAACGACGCCACATTCTTCTCTCCATGTCTCCGGTGCATAATAGGCTGAAGAAGAGGGCTTGGGAGGAGGTGGCCAATAGCATGGCGCTCAAACGTCCTCACGAGCCGAGACGAACTGGGGAACAGGTAAGACTAAACCGAATTCTGTTCTTCTTTTGTTTTTTTTTTTTTTCAAACTTGCAATTGTCGCATCCCAAATCAGGAAGTCGTGTCTTTTCAAATGGCTACTTTCTAGCTTTGCCATCTCGGATCTCGCGTCTGGAACTAACTGATTTTTCGGAGAGAATTTTGAGGCTTTTCCTTTTAAGCCACATGACCTGTTGAAACCATTCTTTCACCCTACGAGTAGATAAAGAAGAAGTGGGAGAACATCGTGTCGAAGACAAAGAAGAAGATTCGAGAGGGCCAGGTGACACCGGAGTTGGACTGGAGTGAGACGAACAGTATGGTGATGCAGTTTTTGGCTGCGGCCACACAAGAGATGCGCGAGCGTCAGCAGCAGACGGCCCTGTACGGAAGTGCAGGGCATGTTTACGAGGAGGCACCGCCATTACCGACTCAATTGCCCCTTCACACCGCTCCCTACACCCCCTCCACCACCGCTTCTTTCGTTGCCTCCGTCGCTCCGCCACCTCTCTTCCCTTCGGCCACTCTTGCCGCCAATCCTAACACCACCAACTCTGTTACCACCAATAACAATAACAACAACGGTACAAATGATGTTTCAGTAAGTAGTGGAACGATTTTCATCGACTGCTGGTAGCCTGGCGTTTAAACCGACTTATCTTTCGCTTAGATGACGGATCACAAGTGCATGAGCAACATGGGAGAGATATTTTCAGGGGATGGAACGGATAGTGGAATAGGTCAGTCTGCGCGGGATGAGACTGGTCCCGAGGGCGGATCCCTGGTGTGCAAGGTGGAGGAGAGTGAGGCAGAGGGGAGAGGGACGATGCTGAACTCAAGCTCCGTCCCCCCTAGTGCCGTTGTCATATCCACGCCGACCATCGGCAACACTGATGAGGACGACGAGGATGATGAAGATGACGATGATGGGGCTTCTGACAGTGACACTGGAGCCCTCCCTAAGGCGTGGGTTTCAATTTTCATTTGTTTGTGAATCTTGCACTACTGAATTGCAACCCAGACCACACTATTAAAAGAATGGCTACTTAAAACACCACAGTAAAGCGTTGTGTTTGGGTCGACATTATTACTCGGATTCAACTTGTAAGCTTCCCTTGTCACACAAGGATAGTTGAAATGCAGGTTTATTTGTCCAAAGGTTGGGTATCGAATGTGTGCTCTGATCTAGACATTCTTTCCCTTTCAGTTTGGTTAGGCGGAATGGCGGTGCCACGAAGTCACATCGTCGCCATCAAAGACGAGCGCTTGAGGCCGAATTGTTGCAGCAGGCTCGAGTGGAACACGCGCTCCGTATGGAGATCCTTCAGATGAAACGACGCTTCTGGCAGCTCAAAACCGAGACCCTTCTCCGGAAACAAAACAATCAACAACCCACCGGACCTTCGTAGTCGTTCTCCCCTTTCCTCATTTTGTTGATGGTTTTTTGGTTTCATTCAGGGAATGTTCATGTGTAAAAAAACATTTTTTACTGATCGATCGGCGCATATAACGTTGCATTACGATTTCAATAAGATTTCTTGACTGATTTGGAGTTGAATTAGACACGAACTCGAGGATTGTTTTCGAGTATGGGTTT